TATAGGTAGTCCAAGAACCAAAAAGTGGTACGGGTACCAATTTTTTCCGTGCCGTACCAAAAATTGAGCGTAGTGTAAACGAGGCTTAAGAGGTGGGTTACAAATTAAAAAAAAAATCCAATGTATAGGTAGTCCAAGAACCAAAAATAGGTAGTCCAAGAACCAAAAAAGTGGTACGGTACCAAAAATTGAGCGTAGTGTAAACGGGGCTTTAGGGTCTGTTCAAGCTGCAGAAAAATTGCCTGGTAGACACATTTATTATATAACAACTACAAACCGTCCAGGGTGCATTCCATGTAAACCTCACGCCAAAGATAATCTGAGGTAGTGTTGCCGTGCGCCAAGTGAGGTCAACTTGTGTGCCGGCTAATCGTGGGCACCGTGATTTTTCATTAATACAGTAGTTAGTTTTTCAAAATTAAAACTTGCTAAAAAGGCGTTTAATTGATGAATAAGATGTTTTGCTGATGAGTAATGATGAGTGTTGTTACTGTTGTATGACCATTTAGTAATATTACACTGACCCAGGAATACAAATTTCTAGAGTCCCTAAACTTAAAGAATTATAGAGGCCAATCCAATCACCAGGCGTTTCTTAATACTCAAAGTCTCGCTTAAACATTTGATGCTGCGCCAACCACCAAAACTGAAAAATTGTGCGCCAACGTCGACGTGATTGTGCGCCAACAATTCAAAACTCACGCCGAAGATCTTCCACAAAACGTGCATGGAATGCACTCTGGCAAACCGTTATAAACATTTTTTAAATTTAAGGCAATTTTAAGTGATACAGATACAAATGATGAAATGACAGACTATAAATTGAAGACATTGAAGCTCGGGAGAATAAAATATAAACAAGATATAAAATTCAGTATTGCAGATTAGAAGTATTAAACTTATAATATTTTACAGTAAAATTTTGGCAATTGCCAATTGAATCATCCAATATTATTATTTTAATACCTACTCACCTTTATTATTATTGCGCAGATACACCGTACTCAATTGAAGGTTTTCTTTCCGTTTTAATTAAGCAGAGTTTCTCAGTGTGTCGTAAGGGCAAAATATTCAATCGCAAACACTGTAAAATGCTATAAAAGCAAAAAAGTCAAAAAGATGTTACCGTCATCATGATGACTCAACAATTTTATTATCGATCACACGTGACAGTTCACGTGGTAGACATGCGCAGTAAACAACTGTAACACAGACTAATATTTTGTCTATTAACAGTTGAAAGGTTACGTTTACGTTGCAATTTTGCTCCGAGAATTTGCAAATTAGCATTGCAATCTTGTGTCCCAATATTGCAGCTAGTTGCATTGTAATTTGCAATATCGCAAAGGTGCTCGCAAAAGAACATCCGATTTGACCACCTTGCAAATTTGATGCAAAAATTGACGCAAATAATGCAAATTTCAAGCAGGTAGCCCAGCCATAAGGGAGGGCCCCCGCATAAGCGGCGGACGTGG